AATTGACGTTTTGTTCTACCTTCGTATGCGTCACCGCATGTTATCAATTTACCTATTGTCGTAAGCCATCTACCCCTGATTCCCTGGTTTTCCGAGTGCATTCCATTCTGTCATCGCTACACAATTAATGTAAAGCTGTAGGACTGTACTTTTTAGACAACAGTGACTCATTTAGGAGTGTTGATAGAATTCAACTTCTGCCTATTCGTGCAAACCGAGAAATCCCTCCGCCTACCGTTGTCTTCTTCAAGGAGCCGCTTTGTCACCTTTCTTCTTTTCCACTTACTCAGCTTCCATGCCTGTTCGCAATGACTTCTTATTGAAATAAAATATGCTGATGACATTATCTTTGGCTTACCGTATCTCAACAATTGTTTACCCCCCCCCCCCCCCCCCCNACTATCCAGCTTGGTATCTCATAACTTAACGAGTGGCCTTCTGCACGCAACCTTTCCATGAACCCGTCAGAATGTGTTAATGATTTATTTTCTCTTTGTAGGGGTAAATTACATTCCTGATTCTCTTGAGATGCTCCAGCCGTTATTCATTAACGAAGCACCCCGTTCAGTCGGGGAACATCAGTTAAGTACTCGGATGTTATTCTTATCTATTCTCTTTCTTGGTCAAGGTACATCAACAATGTCTCTGTAAAGATCCGGCTTTCTTTTTACCATACTCCATTATCCATTCCCTCCCATCTGATAAAAGAGTTTTATACATACCTACATTTTACCACACTGGTTCTATGCCGCCCCAGTGATTTTTCCTGGTTTATTACAAAAACATATATGCGTCATATCAGCTATTTATTCATGTGTTTTGGTTTACCAAAAACTGATTCAATCCATCACGTAGTCTCCCCAAACCCAAGAGCTTATGATAAACTGCCTCAGAATCCTGTTTGACTCACCTTCTTACCTCCGCCCTAGCCAAATGTATTTCTATTTCTTCTACTCGCGCCATGTACAAGCACGTTCAAGCACGCATAAAAGTGTACTACCACTCTTCCATAGCTCTTTATCTTATCCGCTTTTAATGTCACCCAATTCGTATTTTCCATGATTTCTCCAAGACTTTAAGTTAACGCCCTAAACTTAGTACATTTATACGTATTCTCAATTTTGGTGGGGTATTTAACAGTTGAATTTGCATCAGATGGTGTAATAAAACAATTTCTTAACTTTACTTGGATGTTCTTTAGCGTTTCTACCACGTAGAATCGCTAACACCCCGGGCAGGAAAAGAATACCGACCAACACACGAGTGATCTGTGAGTTTTTTCATTTATCGGTGCCGCGTGGTGGTTTCATCTCCGTGGGCCATCTTCAATACCCGCACAGTGCGTGCACAGAGAACACAGTTCCAGTCGCTGGATCGGCATTCTCAACAAATGGCCGATCTATTGGAGACCATGCAGTGAAATCGCTTACTCAATGGGAGGATCACTCAGAAGTAAAATTTTGGTGCACTCCGTCGTATCCGCAAAGAATTACCTCGATGCTGGATTCCCAACTGATCATCTTCCGATAACGTTTCTCGCCCAGATAGGAACTCCACAAGTGGGGGAATAGAACACATCTGGAATCGTGTAGGAATTCACTTTATTATGCAAAAATCATGGTTATTTATGGGTAAGAGAAAGGACATGAGAATGCATATGACAAACGATTGGTTGACCGAGCTGTTCTTAACCGTCTTGATTGGTTGGCGGTTCCAGCCAATCACCTGGGTTCGCTTATCCTTGTTCTGACTGGCTATCCCAGAACAAAGCAGTTTTCAGGGTGCATACTGACTCCCTGCGACTCTCCATTGTTACCCACACATTGTTCCGACCAGTCACGAGCAATGTTATGAAACAAAGGGATTGATGAACACAGATAAATTAGCAATATCTCTTCAACACGGTCAGGCCAAGATTTGCAATCGTACCGAAATTGTCTTGGTACTATAAACGCGTTCATTTGGGGGAAGTGACAACGTTATGCCAGCCCCACACGTGTCCCAGACTGACAGATATCAGGCAAGCTATCTCCGGTAGTGAAGACATCTTTTCATTTGTAAACATGTCCATCAACTGCATTGAAGTTTCCGAGATGAGTAAAACCGTCGAACTTGTGTAGGCTTTCACCACCCTGATTGGGCGTAAATACAGGCCACAGACAGACTTGCGTAAGGACTCTACACTTAACTATGAGAAGTACATCCCACATTTGTTCCGCTTCGATCACCAGATGGGCCGATAAACTTTGTTTAGTGTGGATTTTCGGATCGCAAATCATTTCCCTGGCCTAATTCAATTCAACAACCTGTGTTCCAGGCAGGAGTTCGACACTTCTATTTTAGGCATTAGATTTGGCTTTTGAGAATCCATGTCAACAGTGAAAATCATCAGAAATTTTGAGATCGGGCATCCTTGAAGCACACGCAACTGGAGACGATCAGCGAAGATAGGCGCCAAGCATAAGGCCTTATCCAACCTTCAGTGTGATAACACAGTGCGTGAAGGAATAAAGCAGATTTCTTAGGCAAACCATAAATAAAGCAAATTCACTGACAGCAGCTTGGACAAGTAAATTAAAAGCTGTTCTGCAATGGGAATATCCTGAATAGTTGGGTAATATGCAAAATTCAATCTCGTCCGTGCCCTCTGAAAGTCGCAGGTCATTTGGCATGTGTTGGTTTAGTTCGGTATCCTGCCAACTACGTGAGGATAAGTTGGCCTCAGTGGATGAATCCAGTGCCACCCAAACAACAACGACAACAACAACAACAGGAACAACAACAACAACAGGAACAACAACAACAACAACAGGAACAACAACAACAACAGGAACAACAACAACTACTACTACAACGACAACAACAACAACAACAACAGGAACAGGAACAACAGGAACGACGACAACAACAACAACAGGAACAGGAACAACAGGAACAACAGCAACAACAACAGGAACAGGAACAACAATATCAGCACAGGGCAAAACAGTGATGCGAGTGATCATAGTTATTTGTAAGAAGGCGCGCTTCGTACTCATCACCATCAGCGCTTTCTCTTGGTACTTTTAGATTGTTTTTAATCGAAATTGTTTGCTAAGACGAAACCTGTCACATCCTCAAGTCAGTCAGTATTGATTGTCTGTGTCCGTCTCTATAGTGAAGCGATCATTCACAATTATCCGTCCAATTGACTATCCTTCTATTATCGATGATACAGAGACGCGCCAAGTGTTATAAATCCACAAGACGGTGCCGGGACGAGGATAGTTACTTATTAGGAATAATGGTCTGGGTCTGGGTAGATTGGCATACATACAACAAAGGTCTCATTTGGAACTAGTTTTCGGAGTTCCCATACATACACAAGATAGTTAATGGAACTGTCCAACGGTAGATATGAATTCTCGTAGTTACCATACTGAACACAGCAATTCGCTCCAACAGGTCTTGTTCATTTCTGAACGTTGAAAAACCGCCAACAGCATCTTTTTGCGTACTACTCACAAATGTGAGTAGTACCTCAAAACACTAGTAGCGTATGGCTCCACTGTCCATTCCTCTATAAAGAACATTAATCGCGCAGATACGATGCACTATTTGTATTGCATTGTATTTTATTGAAGCTTTAGCTAGTTATATACATGCTTTTAGATAAAGCGATACCAAAGTCACAATATTGGCAAAAAAGGAGGAGGGGGCGAGTGAGTGGGAGATCTAACGTATAAGAATGTAAATTAACTATCAAGAGCAATAGAAAGGTCAGAACGAACACTCCCCTTATCGGTTAGTATCCGGACAAGGTAGGATACCAAAGAGTTTCTGTATGCAGATATCCTAGATGGGGTGCGTTTTATATTTGGAATAGGTGGAGGAATAGGATTTGCATACATACAGATCAATGTGTAAAGGACAGGTGCAATCAGGTAGAATATTATCAGCAAACTTCAAGCATGCATCAATATGGATATTACACATATTTTCAATCAGAACAGAACGAAACTTAGGAGACACGGTCACGCCTCAGCGGCTAGAAACCGGCTTTCAGCAAACCAGGGTAAATCACAGGGGAGTAATAAAGTGGTATAGGGAAGACACATTGTTGAACAAAAGCGTCTGTCGTCGACAGATCAGAACAGATGTGGCGTGCTCTTCCTATCTAAAAGGAGAGAACTTTCAGCTTGCGAGCAACAGTTTGAGTATGTAAAGACCAGTGAAGGTCACTTTCAAGTGTGACGCCTATGTACTTCACATGACTGAACCTGCTCAGCAGCTTTCCAAGAATCTGTACATTGTCGGAGCGAGATGGGAAAAGGTGAACAGAATACCGATGCTGTGATATATTTAAATATGTTTTGATTGGTTTGCTGACTGTACCATCAAAATGTTCCCTTTTGAATTCCGTATTTTTTCGGAGACCCTATTCATTTTCAAACACGGAACCATTGGCGAGTAANTAATTCCTTCGGATCAAACAGGTGATGGATGTCAAAAGTTGGCTTTCAAACACTTGAACACCGTACGGGTTTGTATCAGACCAAAATAACCATCATCGTGGAAGAGCAAACTCTCTCTCTCTCGCGCGCGCTCGCTCGCTTGCTCTTTTATTTAAATTGGTTTGAGAATAAACAAATCAACAATGATATTCTACTCGCACACAGGACCTCAAACACCACC